CAGGAGATCAGCATGGAGGGTGGGTCAAACACTCCCCTGCCCTGCACATCATTCGATATCTACATCAAGGGTTGGATCCAGCAAGTGTATTTTTTTCTTCCTTACTACAGTACTCGTCTGATATGGCTCTTGTCCAGTTAGTTTGCATGTTTCCCAGCATAACCTTCTTGGATGGTTTGTTTTGACCAAGAGAAAATCTGGTTGAGTCCATTCCTAGGTCCCCATGTGGCTACTGTTTACACACACACACACACAACTCCTCTTTGGAGCTCCCTGTACAATGTCTCATTTGACCCAGAAGTTGTAAACTTGTGGACTGACTGTGTGTTTACATTTTTGATCCCTCCCCACCTGAAAAGTTCCCTGCTTGTACTAAAGAAGCACATTCAAAATAAAGGTTTGGTGTTGTTTCTTCCTGATGTGCTAGCTCTCTACAGGCATACAACGAGCTTTTAAATCGGGGGAGTGGGGAGCTTTCCAAAAAAAGCCAGTTGAATCCAACTCTAGGGGGTGATGCTGAAAAGCCAGCACTGTCTGAAGACCTTTCCGTGGTCATGTGGCTGGCATGACTGAACGCCAAGGCACACGGAACACTGTTACCTTCCCACCAAAGCAGTATCTGTTTATCTACTTGCAGTTTCTTGCTTTTGAACTGCTAGGTTGGCAGGAGCTGGGGCCAGAGACGGGAGCTCACTCCATCACATGGCACTAGGCTCTTTTTTTTTTTTTTGAGCCCCCGGAAGGGATTTTTTATTATTTTTTATCAAACTACAAAACTACTACAGAAAAAAGGGAAGGGGGGATTACATATATAGGATAAAGCAAAAGAACCCACTACTAACTAAAAACCCAAGAGAGGAGATCTTCACTAGCTTAGTTACAGCAAATCTTCACTTCACTTAGATTATTATAAACTGAGTCAAACATTTGTATTACTTTCTTTTTCTTTAACTCTTAAATTTAACTGTCTAGAAACAGTACCCCCCAATCATCCCCTTTCAGAGTTCTCAAAGGCACAATTCAGAGTCCTTCAGCCTTCACTTCTCCTTTCCTCGTCTCTTCCGCAGCTTATAAGGACTTTTTGGAGCGGCTGCCCCTTGCTCTGTCAGAGAGTTCTATCCAGAAGAACCCGAGTCCAGCTCGCCACTAGACTTGCTGTCCTCTTCTTTTTTCCCGTCCTCTGGTCTTCCCAGCTATACCCTTAGGAATTCTTGAGCTTTCAGAACAGAGTCAATCTTTTCTTTTTTATCCTTGGTCTTAAAAGTAACACATTCTGGAAATAGCCATTTATATCCAATTGAGTTTGTCTGAAGAAAAAGCACAAGTTCTTTGTACTTCCTTCTCCGTTGTCTTACTTCAAATGGAATATCCTTTAGCGTTCTGATGGTATTTCCCCCCACTTTCAGGGGTATTCCAGCAACCGCTTTCAGGATTGCATCCCTCACATGCCTCTTTGAGAATCTTACGACAATTTCCCCAGGCAGATCATTTTTCTTTATATAGCCTGAATATGATCTGTAAACCACATCCATCTTGCTCAGCAGCGATTCTGCCTTCATTTCTGTCACTGGGGCTAGTAATTCTGTCATCACTTCTTTAAGATTCTCCCCCCTGTTCTCTGGCATGCCCTGGAAGCGAAGAATCACGTTGGCCTTTTCCATTTGCACTTGCAGCAGTTGATCTTCCATGGAGATTTGTTTCCTTTCCAGTTTTTGCACTTTTTTCTTCACCTTCTGAGTAGTTGCAGCCACTTCCTTTACCTTCTCAGTATCTTGCTTCATTATTTGTATCATATCGTTTATCTGGGTTTGTTGTGCAGTAATACTTTGAGTCACTATAGACATCTGTTCCTTGAAGTTATTCAGCTGCTCCAGCAGAGGGCACATATATTCCGCTATAGACTTTGCCACCTCACTGGTAGCTTCCGGTTTCGGGCTCTCAGACCCTTTCGCTTTCAAAAGTTTTTCTCTGTCTTTCTTCCCCGCCATCTTTTTTGCTTGTTTACTTTCGCAATTTTTAAAAAAGTCTCTGAATGTGCGCTTGACCGCTTAGATTCGCTTTGGTAAGTACTTCTAGGCAGTTTCATTCACGTTTTCTTCCGCTTCCCCCCTCAATCACTCAGAAATTCATGTGCATGGGAGGCGTCCCTCCCATGCTCGCCTTTTTCCCGTTCGGTGGGGTGGGAAGCGCTTTGAAGCGCTCTTCCCTTTGAAGAGCGCTTCAAAGCTGACTCACATTCATAATTGGTCGTTCGACCTCGCTTTCAACTTTCATTTCTGCCGCTGGATCTCCCACGCTTGCCCTGGTCAGCGTCACTAAATCCATACGGTCTCACAGCACGGAGAACCGTTGGAACGAAGAGGTGCCTCAATTCTCCGGCATTTCGCCCTCGAAGAGGCAACCTCTTGTAAGTTCCATGGCCAGGGTCCCTTTGCCGGGCCCCTGGGGGGGTAAGTGAGCCTGCGCACCCCCTCCTTCGGCTGGAGCGCCGCTTCACCCCCGGGAGGTCTGGGAGGTGAGTCTGCTAGTGCGCCGCCATAAACCGGAAGTCACGCAGCACTAGGATCTTGAACTGCCGACCTTCCGGTCTGCAGCTCAGTGTCTTAACCTCTGAGCCACTGAGTCAAACACTATCTTACACTATACAGCTTAGCAAATGCGGGAAATACTGTTTAGATCTAAGAGAACTTAGTGCAAACAGCCTATGAAGTTTACTTGCATCATTTTTGTTTGTGTAAGGGCTGATGCTGATGCAGAAATGGTCCATGGGATCCCACCCATGATCCATCCACAGTCAGAGCAGCTCAGTCCAAGACATTACCACCTCACTCTCCTCACTCTACAACATCACTCTCTGTAACAGGCAAATGCAGAATGGCTTCAAAAGGATTTTTCTTTGCCCACCTGAAGGTTGTGACTAGCACCACACAAAAGAAGGATATCTTCTACTTCTGAACAGTTTTTAATAAGGGGAGTCTTATTAAAAACTGATTAAAGAACCCTGTGGGAGGGCAAAATGAGATAAAACTTCAGTGAGAGGCTCATAATTCTAAAAAGAAATCTCGTTGTATATTTCAAATATATGAAGTAACAGTAAGGTACTCAAGATCCTCTAAGCAGGTTGGGTTTTCTTTTTAAAAAAACTCTGCAGAATGGCAACATCAATCTGAAATGCTTCAAGGGCGCCGTTTGCAGAAGATGGAATCTCCTGTCTAGTAATGAAGCCCCTTCAGGATTTATGTGTTGCCAAAAAAATAGCTTTATAGGCTCCAGCAGGGATGTCTTGAAATGAAGGACCCCCTGACAATTGTTTGTGTTGTTCAACAGAACTAAATTAGAGATTACACTTGTGTTTGTTTTGCAGGGGCGTTCATTTTAACAGTGTGTTTCAAAGCCGAGGTATGCAAACTGCAAATTCAGTTGCAGAGAAGCCAGCATTTGGAATGGCAATTATCTCCCAGGAAGAGAGAAATATCACTGTGTGGTACTTCAGCCTGACTTGGTGATACTCCTTTCAGGAAATGATGGCTCTCACAAATGAACTATCATCAGGGGACCGTGGGACTGTAGCTCCTCTTCTACAAGCTGCAGAAGCCCAGCTTCACTCTTCTAGTTCTGGGCAGAGGAGGGGTGATGTTGTGTGACATTACACTGCTGGCATGAGATAATTGCAAAGTTTTTTCAATAGACATTATTTTATGTATAGTATCTGCGGTGGAGAATAACCCCTGACTTACGTACCTCTCTATGTAGTGGTTAATATAGTCGTTAATTATCATTTATCCCCGCTGTCTCCTTATTTGCTATCAGGTAGATATTTAATCATTGGTGGATTTCTGGGGAGCATTTGGGGCTTCACCAGGAGAAGGGAGGTGAGAAAGTCACCTTCTGCAAGGGGAACTCCTCCCCGCCTTCCAAGGAGCAGCTCTAGTGGATCCAAGCCAGTGTTTTGTAGGGTTGTATGAGAGCTATGCTATGCATAAGATTTTGTTCATTCAGACACACAATCACTGAGAGCTTTTTTAAAAAAATGTCGTGTACTGAACCATCTGTGCATGGCAGGCACATGGAGTTTCCCCCCATTTCTCTCTTTTCCTGAATGTCTGTGGGCAGAAATAAGGAGGGACCAGGGGATGAAATCAACTCCTTTCCTCAGCAGAGCTGTGCTTGTGAAAGGAGGAGCAACTTCATCTCCTAGTCCTACTTCACTGCAGTCTCCAACCCATGTGGCTCTTCCTCTGCACAGACCTTAGGAATGATCTTTCTGGTGGGTCGGAAGGGGCTGTAGAAACAGAGAAGAACTCAGGAAAATGTTCTGCATGGAGTGAGATGATACACACAGGTATCTCTGCTTAAGAAATGTATGCCAGATGGTGGCACCACAAGGTAAAAAGGGAAGCAGGAATTCTGGTGGGGAAGGTCTGGTGGCCACATGAGTCCAGTATAACCAAGGAACAGCCCTCCTGGACCTCTTCCATCATGGGGTATCAGATAAGCAGGCAGCTGTTGACCACAGCAAAGCACTTGAGATAGTTTGGGATGTTAATGCACTGACTAAAGTATGGAGGTATGCTGCCCTGGTACCTAGATGGCCCAGGCTAGCCCGATCTCATCAGGTCTTGGAAGCTAAGCAGGGTCAGCCCTGGTTAGCATTTGGATGGGAGGCCACCAAGGAAGTCCAGGGTTGCTATGCAAAGGCAGCCAATGGCAAATCACCTCTGAACATCTCTTGCCTTGAAAACCTTACGGGGTCACTGTAAGTCGACTGCAACTGGACAGCATGTTCCACCACCACCAGAGTGGTATGCTAACCAGGAGTTTTTAAAGAGCATTTTCATTCTACTGAAGTCAATAGAACGATTCAGTTTAAAATGAAACACATTTAGCCATAGAGTTCCATTCTCTTTTTCACTTTGTGGTCAGTTGTTTGTTCCTTCCAAGGATGAAATTAGTGATGATCGCTTGCTGAGAAATAACAGCTCCCTTGTTGTCTCTTGCAGTCTGTTATTTATTGAACAACAACTTCAGCCCTGACCTGTGCAATGAAGATGGATTAACTGCACTGCATCAGGTAAGTGTTTGGAAAAGGGGAACTGTAACACTGGGGATCAGATTAAGGAGAATGTTCACAACGCAGCTTTCTGGGCTGTCATTTTGGTGATCTAGGGATAAATCAAAAGCAGGGAAAGCATCCAAGAGGAGTTTCTCAATAGATGTTATCTCCCCTCGCCCCATTACTAGTTTGCAAAGCATGTCACGAATGCATGGCATGGCTGATAACTGAAACTTGCATAGTCCCTACCAGAAGCCTCCTACCAGAAGGAGAAGGCCACAGCTTGAATTACTGCAAAAAAGTAGTTGCAGATTTTTGGTGCACAGTGCAATAAATTCTCCTGCACGTGGGCACAGCTGTGCCTGAGGAGAATCATGTGGAGAAGAGTCAACGGCAAAAATAAAAGCACCCAGCTCATCCAGGATCATCTTTGGCTGAGTGATCTTGGGCCAGTCTCAGCCTAACCTGCCTCACAGGGTTGTTGTGGCAATAAAATGGAGGGAGGATGATGTTGTAAGATGCTTGTGTCCCCATCAGAGAGAAAAGCAGAGTATATATTTATCTATCTGAATAAACAAAACCTTGACCTTTCCACTGCTCCCCTCCTGAATGGCATGTTTAAAGTTTACTTTATAGGTCCGTCACTACTGAGCACCCACAGACAATGGGTGGTCTCCTTCCACTGCACTCAGCTAACAGGGGTATGATGAGCCTTTCATCAGAAAAAATCCCTTTTGCAAGAGGAATGGACCTCCATTAACTGAGCAGAGCAGTAGGATATAACCCCCATCTCTTGGGACCACGGGGAAAGGTGGCCTACACCTCCCCCCGCCCGTAACACACTGTTTTCCTTACCTGAAATGGCCCGAGGGGGCTGCTGTTTTCCCTGTTAACAAAACTGAATGTGTAGACCTTCAGTCCACTCTAAGTTGCTCCAGTGGGGAAACAGCAAATC